TCGGAGCTCATCTGCCTGGCTCTGTGTTTCCTGGATGGGGCCGCCTGTGGAGCTGGTTTATGGTTGCCTTCTGTATCTCTGCTTCTGTCTCCTTGAACCCCAGATGGCCGCTCACACTGAGTCTGGTTCTGCTGGAGGTTTCTTCCTGTTAAAAGGGAGTTTTTCCTCTCCACTGTCGCTACAAGCATGCTTAGCGTAGGGGGTTGCCTTTGAGTCAATTAATAGATGCAATCAAATTGTTTACCTTAGATAGAAAACTTTGAATCAATTTGACTGGATGATCTGGTGAACTTTAAATTATGGAAGCAAATCGTTACCATATTTAAAATGAAAAAGCATTTCTGGAAATGCTTTTTCATTTTAAGAATGTCGCTGCATTGTTTGACTCATAAATTAAATTAGTAATCAATAATCCTGTTTCAAATCTTGAAAACCAAGTCCAGTGGATATTTTTGAATTTTTACGGAATAATCCTGTTTGCATTTTCATTTTGTTCTTCAACACTGCTCATCCTTTTATTTAAATGAAAAAGAAATTTGAGGGGTACATTTTGAAAATAAATCTTAAATGTCTTTTTCTTTTTCATTTAAATAAAGTAAAAGGATGAGCGGTGTTGAAGAAGAAAATTAAAATGCAAATATGATTGATTACTAATTTCATTTATGAGCCAAACAATGCAGCCACATTCTTAAAATGAAAAGGCATTTCCAGAAATGCTTTTTCATTTTAAATATGGTAACGATTTGCTTCCATAGTAAATTGCCTTGAGATGACACACTGTAAAAACGATCAAGAAATAAGTAAAAATTTACTTATTTCACCCTTAATTTCAGTAGGTAAATGAGATAGTTTGCCAATGGAATCAGTATTTTTAGTCTTAAAATAATAATTAGATAATATTCACGTGAAATAAGACAATGCAATTGTGTTCTTATTTTAAATCTAAATTGTCTTGTTCCATTGGCAAGATATCTCTTTTATCTCTTCAATTCAAGAACAAATGCACTTATTTTAAGAAAAAATTACTTAAGATTTTTTGCAGTGCATGTGTTGTGAATTGGCGCTATAGAAATAAACTGAATTGAATGGAAAGTAGTGATGTATTATCTCGGCTTAAGAGATGTTAATGAGCTGCTCCCGTGTAAAAAAAATAAAATAAATCAACTTTCTTTGGTTGCTCTGTGCTGGTGAAGATTCTCAGTCATCCAGGTTATAGTCTGTATTAAGCCTCAAACGCTATTCCTGACATTTAGAATTGAAAAAGCTTCCTGGATGGGAAAAGAAACGTTATCAAACTTGGAAACAAATTCCAGTGGATTCTTTTTATTACTTTTTTGGAATTTAGATCAAAATATATCCTCATTAGAATGACCTACTTAAAGTATCTGAAGCAACAGCCATAGAAGACACAAGGCAGTAAAAGCAAACAAAACTTGAAAAAAGTCACACAAACACTAAGGGTTAAAGAAAATACAGTTTAATTAAAAATCTTAATGGCTTAGGCATGAAAACATGGCGGCACAATGAATGCAGAGGATATTAAAAAGACAATAAATAAAATTGTATCTATACAGGTAATAAAGCAACACGTTGTTTAGTAGGCGAGTTCCATTTGACGAAGGCCAGTTAACAGAGTAAACCAACACACAGTCACAACAAAATAAGTCAGCAGATGGGAACCGACAACAGTCGGGTTTACTGGTGGTTCTGGGGGAGAAAAGTTGGAGCTGTCCTTTTTTTTTTTCTCAGGTCTGCAGCTTTTATAGCAAAGGAGTTTAGATGTGGAGCGATGGAGGTGTGAAAAGCTGCAGGCGTTCACGAGGCGGGAAAAAGACGTGAACCGAGTCCAAACTGAAACGTTCAAGGAGCAATTAGCCCATTTCTGTGACTGACAGGAGGCACAATAATTCATCTTCTCACAACCAAACCGGTTAAACCCACAGAGCATATAGTCACTGGAAAACAAAAGGACACTTCAGCCACACCGCACTCTCACATCGAGCCGTTCAGGCAAAATTATTACTTTCGTGAGAAAATAATCTTTCATAAAGATGCTTTACAATTTTAGATCCTTAAGCCTACTTCATGTCTGACAATCTATGAGATCTCTTGATTTTGCAGGTTGAGCAGGAATCTGGCCCGTCTGTAGCAATAAAAAATAAAAGCTGTTCCCTTAATAAATAAAACCATCTAATAACTGCATTATCTGCTTACTCAGGTTTTCCTTGTCTGGTATTAAAAGCGGTTTGTCAAACAAAAAGAAAAATGGTTAAAAAGGTGCGAATATTTTTATTTTTTTCCCACAGGAGCTTAAAAGAAAGCTGCAAGCAAAGTTACTTTTTCAAATTAAAATACTTTCCTTGTTAAGACATTCATATTTTATGCCCCCATCTAGTTTTATGGTGGAGAAATAAGCCTATTTTCTTTTCAGCTCTAAAAATAAATAGGCATGCAAGCGTAAAATGATAAAGGGGTTTGCTACAAATAAAGTTTTTAATGTTATCTGTATATAAAAAAAAAAAATAATAATTGAACATCATTCATCTAATGGAGAAATTCACTTTGCATTTTTAACCCATCCGCTTGGGAAGCAGTGGGCTGCCATTGTGCAGCCCCCGGGGAGCAGTGCGGGGTTAAGGGTCTTGCTCAGGGAGTCAGACTGCGGGGATCGAACCGGGCACTTGCAACATTCACAAGCGCCGCTCTCAAGGCGTATTAGGGAAAAACAAATAACATTTATGTTAATGTTGGAGTTTTAAATCTGCGTTCTAACCAACAATCAGCAGGGTTCCCACGAGGAGAGGCATTAGGAGGGTTTCTCTTCAGATTCTACAAACCAAAGTAGGATTCCAGTAAAACTGGTATAAAAACCGAGGCTTTTCTCTCCATATGTGATGCTCCTTTAGTTCATACAGTCTGTGCTCTGGTGAGATCTCAGATCGGAGCCAAAGCTGCCAAATGGCTCCATTAATGTGCGACAATTCACACCTGAGTACAAGTTCAAAGCTTTTACATTATCTTTTTTTTCTTGTTTTTTTATTTGATTAATGCTTCATTGAAATGCTGTAAAGGT